TGAGTATCCTTTTATTGACAGACTGCTGCTCGTGTCGTCACACTCGAGATTCGTTAGTGTGTGTGCGGTCGGTTCCGCAAACATGCGATAGGCTGAGAGTGGATCGCCGAATCGATCGATCGTTCCATTCCATGGTTGGAATGCGGCCGCTGTCTGAACAAGGACGAGCGCTGTTTTCCGGGTCTCTGAGCACTCCTCCACCATTATCACTGTATCTCACACGTGGTTATGACCTGTTCTGCCAATTAAACTCTACAACGAAGTACGTTTCTTAATTCCTGTAAACCAAGGACAACTTAGGTCTGTGTTGCTATCATAAGAACTTACTTGGATGTTCGGATGGCCTGTCTTCATTGGTAGTGCTGGCCCAGGCACATTTGGCATTTGTTTCGCTCTCGTCCATTCGTCATCCATGCTGCTGCTCTGCTTGGCCCGTGGTGACGTCCGTGAAGCACATTCCGCAATTCTAAATTGCTTCCGTCTGCACCGTATGTTGTCATCATCTTTTGTTAGTTAAGGAAACTTCTTTACTTAAACGCTTAGTAACAAGATTTTCCTGAACCTATTTTAGCAGGCGAATTTGATACATCGTTTTAAGGTCGCTTTTGCTCAAACCCTTCTTGGATGTACTTCTGAAGATCCTATCGTTGTAAACTTTTCTGTTCTGTTCATGAGAGGTTCACATTAATTCAAGTGTACGTAGACCTCGGAGGAATGACGTGACGATATCTGCCAGTTTATAATTAGTGCTTGTCATTCTTTTCTTCTTTTCTGTTATTCTCAATTGGACAGACCTCCAACACTCTTTTCTTCTTTTCTGTTATTCTCAATTGGACAGACCTCCAACACTCATTGTTTCTTTATGTCGCGTCAAAAGAGTGAAATTTCCTTGTTCCAAGAAAAGAAAAGATGAAAAAGATATGGAGCGGAGGGCGGCAGTTCGTTTCTTTTCTTTTCGATCCCAGTGGGTTTCTTTACGTATCGGGAATTAATTCCATCTACTAAACGTGATGTTTGATGTGACATTGCGTTCCGAAGTTCCCGCCTCAGATTACCTATGGACTTGTTTGCAGTTCTTGATGTATGGCAAATTTCATAGTTTTTCTTCCAATTCAGGCATCTGGAAGGGTCACAGCAGTATCATCGAGCGCTTAAAAATTCTGTGTTACTTTAGCTCTTTGTGACAATTTAAATCTAATTAAGTAATATCTGCACTAGTATCTTACAAAGAAGTTGCCTAAGTACTCAAAAGTGACTTCCCCATGTTCTCAGTGGGAAGTTACCCTATTCTTTAATTAGCGTTCACTGGAGGGTGGATCTTTCTTAACAAGTCTTATGCAATCCTGCCAGTGCTAAAGGTAATCGCCGCGGGTCTCATGATTTATTTGTACCTATGACTTATTTGAGGAGTTTGCGTATCCTCCTATTTCCATCAACAAAGAATTCTTAGTACACTCCTTGTCAGCAAATGTCTTTATGGTTGGACAAACAAACTTATCCGAAAAATGGTTTTTTCTAAATTACGGAGTGCGGAGTATAACTCTTCTGGAACCACCGTAGCACAAGATCTGCGTCTGGTAGTGTATCGGCTGAATTCGGATAGTAAAGGGAAAAAAGTTTTGTTGTGTAGGAGACGAACCACTTAAAGAAAAGCGCATATCATCCGTTACGTTGTGCGTAACTATGCAAGTAAATCGATGCATTTCGTGTTGAACGTGTTGAAGAACACCCATCTTTATGGTTATGGTGGACGTTCGGATTAAAAAGCTGCTCTCTTAGCCTTTTTTGCTCCGCTTTAACAGCGAAGACTTCTTTTCAGTTCATTTCTTCCCTGTCATTTCGTATCCGTCTCATAAACGCGAGTTCAACCATAACAGAGTTTAGTGCGCTGTTAATGTATTCGATTCTGTAATTAATGCACTATGGTACTGAAGAGACTGTGCTTAAGATATTCATCGACTTTTTTCTTCTGTTAGAGAGTAGTTTAGTTGTCAAGTGAGATCAATTTGAATTATATTGGGAGACTCTGTTTAAGGACTGTTTCTTTCCCTTTTCATCAGCATTCCATAGTATTTTTCTCCATGTTTTCGTCCACGATGAGGTTAAAGGATAAAGCTTTCGGTGTTGATCAATCCCTGAGGGAGCGCCATGTATTCGTCTTCATTAGGCATCGTTGGAGGTACTTGAATGCATATCTGGCCTTTACAATTACTCACGATGGCCTACCGATGTATCGAGCCAGAGCTTCTATCCTCCCAGACAAGTGTGGTACCAATTTGTCGATCTCGGAGCGATGGAGGGCTTGGTGAGCCAGGGGCGTGGGGACCGATCTCATGTGTGCATCGCAGGGCGCTTTCGACCACTGCGCCACACGCGCTCTTTCTAACTATAACTAACTCTTATTGAATCACTTGCTGGTTTTGTTATTGAACAGTTCAAGCCGGTGTGGCTTATATAATCTGGTTAGCAAACGCTTTCATGATCTCGGTCTGTTTATCTGTTAGCTATTCATGCATTTTGGTGTTTTCTTCGCTGTTCATCTCCTCGCTTGAGTGTTTCTTTTTCCATCTTAGGTTTTTCCTCTATCGATACTGGTCTATTCCGAAATATGGGAGTGCAATGTGTCCGCTTTTCAGTTTCGTTTTTTCTTTCATTCCATTAGAAATAGAAAGTTTATGTGGCTGGTCACGCTCAGTTCCGTCTTCTCGTTCTCGCAGGGTTGCCTACCGTGGAAACTTAAATTCTCAGTAGAGAAGCAAATACTGACGCTGGCTACTACATCATTGGCGCTACTACCACTCGAACATTGTTATTTCCCACTCTATAGCCAACGTTTTGGAATTTTGAGGGTCAACAAAAGGTGCTTCGGCAATGAATCAGCGCCGCTATCGCCCATGTCATCAGGTTTGTCAACGTATCCTCCCGATTTGCTCATTTTACCTTTCTTACATATCAGGAACCATTGTAAAGATTCAAGCCTTTCTTCTATTTTCTTTTTTTTCTTCTATCCATCGCTTTCGAGTTTGTCTTCTTTAGCTATTTAGTAACGAAATATTTCGTTTTCAGAAACTTGGCAAAGCGTTTACATGGCCCTATTGCGGTCTCCTCGGTTAAGATGGATCAGCAGTTCGACGTTGTCCTGTTTGCAATAATTACTTGAGCTTCACAATTCTAGTATGAGGTCGTCTAACCGTTTTGTTTTTGACGATAAGCTAACCACGGTTAGTTCACCTGAATTGCCGTGGCATGAGTTTACTCTTAGGTTTCCGGATAGAAAAGCCGAATGTTTAGAATTTGGTTAGCTTACTGTGGATATACTCTTCTGTATGTCGTATTTCAACAACCAAGAATGCTGTCAACTTCTATATTAGAGGCTGTAAGCGATGATAAAAGTTTAATTACAATTTGGCAAACCTTTGCAATGCATAGAGCTCGGCCGGTGCTAAACGCTTGAGAAAACCTTGATATAATAGTTGCTATTTTAATAGCTTTCTTGTACACCCATTAAGAGGGAGACTTTCCAATTTATTATTTCTCAATGAAATAGAGCTATACAAAAGGGCCAATTTTTGTGGGAACCCTTTCTATCTTGAATCGTTTTACATGTGATCTCGCCCATTGTCACAGCTGTAGTGATCGTTTTGAATGGCGGAATGTGTGGTAATCACTCGTGCCATATGTTCCGTTCATTCGGTTCGGGCACATTGACCATGTCCGCTTCGTCGGGTTTATGTTTCTTTGTCAGATTAGCACGCTTAATATCACGATAAGTCGATGACAGTAGTCTTAGAGTGGCTAACAGGACCCATCCAGATACCAGGCGTGCGCGGTTTGTTTACTCTCCGTTGCGATAAGTGCATCCAGAAAAGTGGCTTGCGTTAGAGATGCTCATTCAGTACGTATCGATTGAATACTGATTCTTCATGATATCTTGTTAAGGTTTGTTTTGAATTTGGTCAATTTTCATCTGTCCCACACCAACAGTTTTATTCGCTCCATAAATGTGGTAAAACTAGGCGCTTCTCTCAAATGTAGCTCTTGAAATTCACCGCAGTCTCATCGATCTAAGTTAGATCGTTGTTCTGGCGATAGTCTAATGTTATTCATGCTGTTACGAAAAATGGTAAGCTGGTCGTTCGTTTCCACATCTGTCATCTGGATGACCTCTATGGTCAGCGATGAGCCGACTAATCCGTTGAGAGACGACCAAGCGTAGAGCAGCAGCGGACAGACAAAGATTAATACGTCGACGGTGATAAAGCGCGGTAGCCTTTGAGATTAGCGCGAAATTTGATATTCCGGGTTGCACGTTCTTGGTACACATTATTTTTCGTCTCAACCAAAATCGTTCGACTTGCTCTGGTTGTTGTTAGCATTCGTGGTTGTGTATCTTCTTAGGATAAAATATGGCCTAACTTTTTATTGTCAGTATTCTATCCTTTATTTTGACTGATTTTGTACAGTACTGTAAAAAATGAACAGCACACCGTTATCCATTAACATTGTCCTCTAAATGCTTTCAAACTGAGACATCCGAACATGTGGAAATCTTACTATACGCAGTAGTATTTTAAATGTTTCTAAATATGTTTATCTTCATCTATCAGTGGTTTTTCTTCCATTTTAAAAAATGATTAGTTGATGCCGCGACTCGCGGGAAATCTCTGAAATGGGTATTGTCAATGCGAGAGTTACTAGCCCTACCAAAATGATATGGCGTTAGTTCGTGACTGATTTCATAGAAATTATTGCTATCGTCATAATTGAACACAAATACGGTAGGTTTACCAAACACTTTCACGACAGGGTTGGAAACTCGTGAATTGAAAGTCCCCAATGTTATGCTATTCTCGAAACTATCGATTTAAGTGAACTTGCATAATCCGTAGACAGCACCTACTTACGCCCGAACTTGCACTGTTCTGCAGGGAAACAAAGACCTTAAGGTGTGAATAACAGCAATGTTCACAGGTTGGGAAGCGCATCAGAGTTCGGCATTTATGAGACCAAAATGGTGGCTTTCCAGTGTCCAAGTGGAAGAATCGCTGCATCTCGAACGGCAGGAGAGTTCAATAGTTCATCCACGACTACAACTACATAATTTCACTATCTTCTACATCCATACATCCATATCTACCTGTTAAAATAACTACGGATAATCCTGAATTGCATAGTGCATCTGAAGAGCACGCTTAATTTTATCATACCTTATTTAGTAGGCCTTCAAATTTGAAATCAGCTAAGAGCAGTTGATCGCAAATTAGAGCGTATGACTTGTCGAGTGTCTGCGTGACCTATACCGGGCTTCTTCGCGCAAATCTGTTCACCAGAGACAGTGTGGTAGATGTAGAGGTGCAGGTGCTAAGGTAATCACTTTGCGAGTTAAACGTAAACAGCTGCTAAGGGTAAGATGTGGGCATGTATTGCCTATAACGAACGGTTATATCTGATCATACCTTTCACCCTTCAGAGCAGCCATAAAATATTTTCCGTGTTCATGTATCAAGGTTATAGTAAAAGTGAGATGTTAGTAATCCTATCCGTGGTTCCTCATTGTTTCTTCCCTTATTCTAAACATTTTCTACTCCAGCGTCAACAGAGATCTGACTTTTTTGTCTGGGTTATTTTAATTGTTTATGTGCAACGTTCAAAGGGCCAGTGTAGAAAAGTTGAAATTTGTGCTTTGTCGTACTCTTTTATCATATATTGACGTCTGTTGTTAACTTCCGATTTTCAATGTACTATGGAGTCGTTTTCAGAGTGGAACTACTGCAGTACCTGGGTTTGATCAGCATGATTTTAGCGATCGGCTGAATCGGTTGATAAGCCAAAGTTCTATCGGATCTAGTTTACCATCGCTGAGGTTTGATTTCTGTCAACTGCTCATATTGTTGGATTCACGCTTATTTTAGAAGGCCATTTCCTTGAATTTCTCCGTTGCAGTTCATTACACTCTGCATCCTCACTCATCACAATGCCGGCTGCAAAGGTAGCTGATGGATCATGTCCTAATCGACCAACATTAATGAACGGCTTGAGACGTGAGGTTTTATCCCTTAGTAACTCCTTTGCCTCTATTTTTCCTCTTTGTTAACTTAATCATAGTTTAGTCATTTTCTCGTTGCAGAAAAATCTGGTGAGGACCGACAACGCGATTTAGAACTTTATAAAATTCTTCGAGGGAAAAAAGCCGAGTTAGAGGAATTGCTGAGGTCGCGCCTCCATGAATTGCGGTTAATCTGTTTAAAAGAAGGAGTGAGCTTTTCTCAGTACACAGGCCTTTGTATTCATGTCATCTAACAGTAAGAGTATCAGGAAATCACGGGAGAAATGCCCGAAGAAATCAACACCACGTTAAAGCCTGGGGAGGAGATGCCGAAATTAAAAAAGAGAGTTGGCACTTCGTTCTCAATTCCGGAGGAAATCCTCAAAAGTGATAAGGTGAGCATCTCCAAAGGGCTTGCGATGTTTATGAATACAATATAGATTTCGTAATAGAGGGAGTGGATATGTGTTCTTGTGAGTATTCTCCAAATAGTCGACTGAAAACCATATTCTGATAAAGTGCCATGAGAACAGCTACCATATGCGAGGTCATCATCTCTTTTTTACCTTAAATATTGTGGTTGATTTTGATTCGTTTCGTTGCAGGGTTAGTGCAGTTAACCTGCTTACTTGAATACTTGTTTAGTTGAATGGCCCTTGCTCACTGGTTGTGCGGGCCCCAGCATAATCTCTATTTTTCGGAGATTTGCTGGTTAAGCTATTGTGGTTCGTGGAATCGCGAGGTCAGCTTGACCAAAGTCTGCCCCAGGTTTTCACCACCACAGGCACTCTCAGCCCTTGTGGATCAGAGGGACATTTACCACCATGCGACTTTGATACCAGGAGGTAGTGGATCCTGGTACTGGTTTACTCTTAGTTAGTCTTCCTGATGGGAACGCCGGACTTCTTCTCGGCTTGGGAGACCCTGCGAAGAGATGAATCCCCCGCTGTACATCGCAATCCGACACCGAAGAACATCTCCCAGCTACTATGGGGCGGTAAACGTTGGGAGGTTGGTTTAGTGCAGTTATCTAGCGTAACTAAAGACTTACTCTCTTTGATGTTGGCAACCATGATCTGAAGGTTGATGGTTGCACAAATCGCTGACATTGTCAGTCCAACTACAGTTCCAAAAGCCATGTCATGCGCAAATACCATGATTAGAATGCCGGCAAGGAAAGCACTGCCGACTGTTGCCACCAAGAAGCTAATGCGATCTTGTCCAAAATGAGGGCCAATCACCTGTAATTGCACATGCGACCCCATGCTGGTTTTCTGTTTGTCACTTTTTTTTCTGTTTTTGGTAGAAAGAATACCTCGGTGCATAAGGAACTGGAATTTTATAGGAGTTTTGCCATGTAGCACTTCAAGTATGCATATTTTTAAAATGGTAACATAGTGTAGTTTTTATCGCCAAATCAACCCTCAGTTAGAATTTTCAAAAAGCTGCTGACGAATTTTAAATTTTTAAGTTTGTTAATGCATGCCTGGCAGCGCAAACATCAGCAGTGCACTCAGGGACATCACAGTGTCGCGCTAGGTGAAATCCTGCTCGTTCCACCGCTCACCATTCGAAACACGAACTTCGATAAAAGAAAAAAGAACAAAAAACATACTTTTTGAGGGTTTCAGAAATTCACAACTTCTCTATTTTAGAATGCTAGTCTTTATTTACAGCCTACTATAATTTTTCACGGCAGGGTATGATGTGAAACACAACCACAACGGTGCTGACATATTCGCAAAACTTGAACATCAGGCTTGATCTAACCACGATTATCCTTTCCGGAGACTCGCGTTTTACACATTGCACCACTGAGGACCCTGCTTTGCGTTTCTCTTAACTAGTTTTCTTCATAACGCTGTCATTAGCAATCACCCGTCAGTGAGGTTGATCTGGGGAGCATAAATTGGCATTGAACCTAGTGAAAAATTATAACTCAAAAAACCGACTTTCTATAAACCTCGGCATAAATAGTTGATATATTTATTTACACGATCTTATAAACTGATTTTTTTGAGCCGATGCGAGCTTAGTATATGTCTTCGTTGTCGTTGTTGTTGTTGTTGTTGTTGTTGTTGTTGTTGTTGTTGTTGTTGTTATTGTTGTTGTCACAGCAACAACAACAACGACAACAACGAAGACCTATACCAAGCCCGCATCGGCTCCAAAAGATCAGTTTATGAAAAGTTGCAATAAGCAGTAAATAAAAGATTAGCATTGTGGTTTCGGCTACAGCGTCAACTTAACTGGGTTCAATGCCGATTTGTGCTCCCCAAATCAACCCCGCTGACGGGTGATTGCTGATGGCAGCTCTATGTAGAAAACTAGCTGAGAGAAACACAAAACAAGGTCCTCATTGCTGCAATGTGTAATACCCGAACTACCGGAAAGGATAAGCGTGGTTCGATCTAGCCCGGAGTCCAAGTTTTGCGAATATCTCAGCATCGCTGTGATTTCAAGATCATCTCCTCAACTTTATAGTTCTCTTTGCATGAAAAGAATCCTGTGGCGCCTTATGCTTTGTGGAACTTTGGAACTTTGTGACAACGTCGACATTGGTTAAGCTAAAGTTGCAGTGGCTTACTTTTCTTAACTTGAAAGAACTTCTGCAATTGAGGGTTACCAGGAATAGTGTTGGTTTGTAATGGCGCGGTCGGACAGCCTTTCATTTCGTTTATTCAAGCCGAATGCATTTCTATTTGTCATCTGTTCTTGAGACGTTAGTTTATGCGCCCTTATGGCGTTGAAGTCGCCAATGAACACTTTTTGTAATTTACGAATCTCTCGTAGTGCTTTTGCAAGTCAATAAAAAATGCTCTAACGTTGTTCTTATGAAAGCTTGATTTTGGATTGTAGCCAAAGAAGGTTGTCAGAGAAGCAATAAGCCAGCATCTTTTCACCTATTACCCTGCCGCTAGGCGAAATCGATTTTCGTGTTTAAGTTCATATTGGCGATGGCACCATCAACTCCTCAAATGTTGCATAGTCTGAGGAACAGTGTTTATCTACTGTCATAAACGGCGTTTGATAGGCAAGTCTTCTCGTTTTCAGTCCAGTATGCCTTCTTAGCTCATGTCATCAGACTAGAAATTCCATTCATCGTAGCAACGCAGTAAATCGTAGCGTTCAGGACTTTGTAATAAAATAGGATATTTTACATAACAAGATGAAAGCTCTGTTACTTTGTTTATCTTCCGATCCTGCCACTACCATTCCATTGTGAAGTCTACGATAACATGGTTGTGACCACATGTGTATAACCAATTTCCGAACCCATGATTATAAATTGCAACGTTGTCTTCTACTTTATACCCACATACTGACATGAAACCTTGCTTACCTGTACGGCTAGGCCAACAAGTCCAGGAAGAAAGTAAGAAGGAGCTGTTGCCTCTTTGATAATATAGTGATGATTAACTACACTCCCTAGTATTCCAAGTAAGAACGCGATGCCAATTAACATGATTCGTTTCTCGTGTATATTTAATTTCTAAAATAGTGTATTTTTTTTCGGCGTTTTCTTCAATAAGCAGACACGAGGTTGATATTCGTTGTAAGTATTCCAATTAGTTGGTGGATGGCAGCCTCACAGAGTAATATATGGACGAGGATTAGCCGAACCGTCAGCAATTGTATCCTTACTTGATACTTGATACTTGAATGGCTCGTGCTCACTGGTTGTGCGGACCCCAGCATAATCTCCATTTTTTGGAGATTTGCTGGTTAAGCCGTTATGGTTCCCTGGAGTCCCGAGGTTAGCCTGGATAAAGTCTGCACCAGGTCTTCACTACCACAGGCAGTCGTAGCTCTTGTGGATCAGAGGGAGATTTGCCACCATGCGACTTTGATACCAGGACGATGGTGGATCCTGGTATTGGTTTACTCTTAGCTAGGCTTCCTGATGCAAACGCCGGACTCCTTCTCAGCTTGGGAGACCCTGCCAGGGGATGAATCTCCCGCTGTGCATCGCAGTCCGACACCCAGGTACACCTCCCAGCCACGATGAGGCGGTAAACCGTTGGGAGGTATTGTATCCTAATAAAAATAAATTCTATAATGTCGACCTCGTGTCTGCTTATTGAAGAAAACACCGAATTATCAATCAATGCCGAGGTTAATAGAAAGTCGGTCTTGCGAATTGTATTCTTTTCATTTACTCTCGTTCATTTTAATAATTGTGACACACCTATCAAATCCTGGGCACTCACCTTTTCGAACTTTTTATTGCCATATACCACACACGCTGGTAGAACTGTATATGTTAGGGTAAAGATTAGGAAAGATCCAAAAAGTCCGATTAAAGTGCTAATTATTTCAACATTTCCAAAACGCAATCCGATAGTGAAGCTTGTTAAGAAAATGGTTCGCCAGACGTAAGACCTGAAAGGTGAAAATTTTTTTAGGTTACGAAAATTGGCTACCCTTCAGTAGTATCAGCACTGTTTTTCGTCATTTTTTAGATGCTCATAAAGTCGTTTTAATTTGTGTTATAGGAAAATATTGATGTACAGACCATAGTTGTCGTTCCGATTATCTTTGATCATTACGTAAATGTTGCGAAAGAGATAGCTTCGATACTGTGAGATATACTAGCTTGCTGCAAAAATAACTGAGGTTGAGGGCTGTGAATTTTAACGCGTTCGAGACGGTGCTGATTTTTTCAACAATTGACAGCCAAATTGTCATCCAGTAGAATAACTGAGGAATTGAGAACTCATGGGAATCAGGATTTTGATCCTGGAGACTGGAGGGGCTTAGACTATCTACCTTAAATGTATATATGTAATGAAAATGATTTTCGCAAAATACTTTTTTGATTCTTGAAACCTATTTTTTCTGCTTTAAATTGGTTTGGGATTAAAAGTTCGAAAAATTTGGAAAAGTTTAATTTTCTAAATCTCCAGTGCGAGCGCAGAGGCTTCAAACGTCAGTGATAACATAGATGACATCATCCTCATCTGGATGAAATCGCTCTCGTTCAGAATGGTTTCAGGGTTCAAAATACTAGCTTCTTTTTTTGCAAAGAAATCGAAGAAGAGCATTTTTGTAAGCTCCAGAAAATCAGGATTTCCTTTTGGAAGAATAGGAAGCGTTTTACATGATTAGCAAAGACATGTTGATCTGCTGACTTCTATTTCAACTCGAAATTTCGCTGTAGACTGAAATATGTTGGTCTACACGTGAAAGTAGCCATTATGTTCGCTCGATGTGGACCAAAATTAGTTGTCGAGGACCGTTTCTATTGGCCATGACGAGGTAAATTAGTAGCGGTTTCTTTTACAATTTCATCAATTTGCATTATCTCTTTGCTGTTATTGGTTGGGCAAGGTTCAAGACGAATTGGATGATTCCTTCTACTGTAAACGAAGAAGTTCTTAACTTTTTTTGGTGCAAGGTATATATTGATAAGTGTTGAGGAGCTTCATATCAATCCATTTACTCTATTGTAGGTCGTTTATTGTCGTATAAGATCCACTTCTGTTTATTACTTTTTGCATGCATTCTTCGAGTTCTTTCACTTTTTCGACGGCATCCAAATTGCGCGAGCGACTGTTAATTCGCGAATGTTGAGTTTTTATATATCATTCAAGTAGTTTTGGAGGGGAGGATTCGATTATTGTCTTCAGACGTTCGTAGTCAACTGCTGATAAGTGTCGACGACCTTGTATGGCATAAAGATTCATATCTTCGATGAGAAGCTTTACGAACCATCTATTATTATGCGTTCGAAAGTCGTTCAACGGCTTATGGTTGAGTAACATTTCTACCATTGCTGTATATCTAGGCTTGAATGCATGAAGCATCTACGAAACGTATTTGTAGATTTTATGATGACGATTCCTCGCGACGGTTTACTGCCTCATGGTGGCTGAGAGGTGTTCGTGGGTGTCGGGTTGCGATGTACAACGGGGGATTCGTCCCCCGACAGGATCTCCCAAGCTGAAAAAGAGTCCGGCGTTTTTTCAGGAAGCCCAGCTAAGTGTAAAGCAATACCAGGATCTGTCACCGTTCTGGTACCAAACTAGTCCCATGGTGGTAAATCTCCATGTGATCCACTAAGGAGACGAATTCCTGTGGTGGTGACAACCTGTGGCATACTTTCATCGGGCTGACTTTGGTATTCCTAGGACCCACAGTGGCTAAACCAGCAAAACTCCGAGAAAGGCGGAAACTCTGCTGGGGCCTGCACAATCAGTGAGGACGCGTCATCCAGGTATCCAAGTATGATTACGAATTTCGCCATTTTTTTGTGCTAGCGTTTTGATTTAAAACACAAGTTTTGAGTTTGTTCCTTTAAGTTATGAAAATACTTGACTACTTGTTGGTAGGACAGCTTTCAAGCTCTGAAGACGAATTCCACTAAGACGTCACCCACGGTGAAAAAAGTATTGTGTGAGAATCTAATGCCGAGGTTTATTGTGTCGAGGAATTAATATTTGCCTTATTGTTGTGTGTTTTACTACGTTTTCTTGGTTTTTCGAGGTTATTTGCAACTAATCGAAAATACTCACTCAAACATGTGTCCGTAGTCGAAATCACGTGGAAGTGGCGATGTGTCGACTATCTTTCTATAAATCCCTGTCACTTTTTCACCAATAGTCGGCGGCAGATCGAAACCAGTTATTTGCGAGAAGCTTAGTCGGTCCATGTTCTTATGCGATGCTGAAGTACTTGGTGACATCAATGTTTTTTCCAATCCAGACAGCTTTCTCTATGTTGTCAGCAAACGATCCTTGTCTTGGCGGTTGTTGACGATCGTTATGGTTGGTAGTTAGCAGACAAGACCGTATTTGATGTCAGAAGGCTGAGAATGGTCAACATTCACCGATTCATTGTTGCTTCTGTTTTAGGTAAGCAGAAAATAGATAACGATGATAAAATAGTAGTAGGAACCACACCCTGCGATAATTAGGCATAGACATATGTTATAATTAGAGGTAGTGATTGCGCTCCTTCAATATGGTGTTTATGTTTGTCTAGGCTTCTGTTGACGTGAATGATTTACTCCTTTGTGGCAAGATTGTGCGAGTCATTTGGTTTTCTGAGTTGTGGTTGTGGAAATGGTCAGTGTGTTGTAAAATGTGGAATTCGGCACGCCACTTTGTCCTTCATTGGTCGCCGAACTAGTTCCGGGATATATTTCCTTCCTAGGATCCTAGTGGCGGAACATAAGGTCGTATAGTACACTACGACAGGCGATTACTTGTGGTGAAAACAGGAGAATTCATTAGCATGACTATTTCGGTATAGAAAAAAAGTAAAAAATTTCGGTGCACCAGCGAAAACTCCGCTCAACCACCATCCAACTTTTCGATACATTCGCAATAAAGTGCGTTGATTTCAGTGCATATTAGTGCGAAAAGGACGCATGTGGCGCAGTGGTTGGAGGCGCCACTGTGACGCACATGTGGAGTCGATCCCTGCGCCCATGGCCAACCAAGTCTTCCATCTCTCCGGGGTCGGCAAATTTGTACGAGACTTGTCTGGGAGGATAGCAGCAGCGGCTCGATACATCGGTAGGCCACCGTGAATCATTGTAAAGGCCAGATATGCATTCAATCACCTCCAACGATGCTTAATAAAGTCGAATGCATGGCGCATCTCTCAGGGATTGATCAACGCCAAGAGCATTATCCTTTATTTATGGTGCGAAAATAATGGCGGTTTCAATGACGAACTTTATTAATCGAGGTTAAAATAGCTGGGATTTACAGATCTTTCCCAGTAAGAAATAAATTCTATTGTCCTGGAAAAATGAAATACTGGTTATCTAGATGCCATAAAACATATTTTATTCTAGCGTTTCTTCGTCGAGGTTCGTATTTCGAACACAGAAGTGATTGAACACTTGGGAATTTGTAGTACTTGTAGTATTAGACGTATGGTGTACTCCCTCCATTGCATCGTTGACATTTTCGGTTGCGGCTATTGTGCTGGAAATCTTAAAAATCTAAACTGCGACTTCGGTTTTCCGAGATTTCTCTCTGAACGAATTTAAAATTAAAAGGTTATTTTGTAGAAATTATATACCCTTGATATGTACCCATGATGATGAAGCAGCGTCGCTTCTATAAGACTGCTAAGTCCTCCGGTTCTGAAGTGCTGTAGTTACCGGAGAATCACTGGCAGATTTTCAGCCTAACAGTTCAAAAAGACTATTAGCGGTTATCAAAAAACCAGATTTGTTGCGAAAGGGTTCGTGAGAGAAAACGAATTCCATAGGTGATATTTGCAAGGAGAAAAAGGTGCTAGAAGTTTTAGGGCGCGCACGACACTTGGAGTAGTGCGATCTGAGTACGCAAATAGGCAGAGCAAAATGCTATATGCCTCATCCGTCTTGTTGGTTTTTAACCTTATTGCATGCGATTTTCTATGATTTGTTTAACTTGTGTTATCTGCTTGTGGTGAATATCCTTCAAAAATATGTCGTGCTTTCAATGGGCATATATCAGATGTATGGCCCCTTATGTCCTCCACATCTCGTTCCATTTGGTAAGTTAATGCTTTAATTTACCAAGGAGTGACGCTAACATAGATGTATGAAATCTACATCTTGTAATGTCTGCATTCGAATGTTCTTTATTTAGCCCTGTCAGTTTCTTAGTGAACATATAAGTAAAAGAATATCGAATCAAAGCACTTCTGCGCTGACTATGTCCACTATTAATTCCTTCGGAGACTTTGACATAAATTTCCTCGTAGAGCTATTTAGAACACTTGTTAATGCGCTGTAGAAAGTTTTAATGCTACGCTACATAATATCTCACTCCAAAACGGGCAAAAGTTACCCATGTGGATAATCAAGCTTGTCTGCTCTGGAGTGTGTATAATGCAAGGATAACACAGGGAATACACAAGTTAGTTTACTCGTTCCGCTGTGCAAGGCAAACCAAGCACTCTTTCCTACCAAGATTATCAAATTGGTACAGGACTCGTCTGGTAGCATAAAAATTACTTGACACACCGGCAGTCCCACAAAGCCAACGTTTAGGCAAAATAAGGTAGATCAATGTAGAAACGCTTCGTCCTTTGCACCAATTATTCCTCTGGTTTGCAGTTTTCCTTTTTTTAATCTATAGAACACTGTGTTGATGAATTGTTCTGCTCAAAACAAAATCAAAACCTAATTTCACCATAATATGTTTTTCCGGCGGACAAAATCAGTCAACTGGAAACTGACGTTGAGCTACACAAGCGGATCGTCGCAGCTGCAGAGCGCCTGGCTAAGGATAAAACTATGAATAAAAGCGTCCGCAAGAAGAGACAGAAGGTGTTTGCTACGCGTCATATGACTTCTTCATGCGTATTGCTTAGTATCAATTATATAATATTTCATCGAGATTATTTACAGGATTTAGCTGCAGCTGCCCTAAAATTACGCGGTCTTGAGTTAGGTCTGAATCAAATGCGTCTAAGCGCCAGCAAACCTGATGTTAGCTCACTTGAATGCAGTGGAAGCGGTAGAGGTGAGAGCTCCATTTCTTTCTGCAGTCATTTCTTCTAGTACAATTTTAGTTTGGTACAACTTTTCCAAATTTGTCAATTAACCGTTTTTGAGAGCAATGCTGGTCAGATGAACGAGCGCACCATCTGTAGGAGATGATGAAAATATTTTTACAATCCATGATATGACTTACTCTGGTGTTCTTCTTCGCTACAGCAGAGATGTCACTTTTACACTGCTGTTATGTTGAAGTCTTTCAGAAGTGATCCATATAAAAGATTCTTGTTAAGTTGTGGATAAGAGCCTTTGATAAGAGATGTTAATATTGCACTGCCAGTGTTGATTTATCGACGCTCGACGATGAAGAGCAGGCATAGGTGGCACTGATTAATATGATAAGAGGTTTAGATTGTTAGGCAAATTAGCGTATAAATTCAGCTGTAAAATTGATTAGTCATTTAATGTTAAAGGTTTTTCTTAGCTTTCAATTTCACTATCATATTTACCTCCGTTGCAGTGTCATGGAATGCGTTTCCACAGCAGAACAATGGCACCATTTTGAGCAGGGCTGTGGCAAAATCTTGTCCAACAACACCACGAGGTTCAGTGCCCGACCTGTGCCCCGATGGCGATAAGAGCGACGAATATGATGATGAGGAACAAGTTCAGCGAAGGCCGCCTGAGTACGTCTTTTACTTCTATTCGTATCCTTGCTCCTTGTGCATGTGATAAGCATCCATCCTCAGTGACTGTCTACCGTAGAATTCCACTGTATCTACTTACCAACATCCTTAAGATCATCGTCTCGTCGTTCACTCCACCAACGTTTCTCGGAGATGTCGACGTCCAGCAATGGCTCACTCGGATTACCGCCACGTGCAAATTCTCGTCGCAGTAACACAACTCGATCAATAACTAGTGATGAGCTCGATAACCCTCTAACCAATGCCTTACCTTCAACTGACCAAGCACCCATGTGAGCTTTTCGTCCTTTCATGAGTCAGCGATACTGCATTATTGCGCAGATAAACAAAACATGGTGACACTAATTGTCTAAACAATGATCTTTTGACTGCCAAAAAGGCGCTTTTAACTAAGCTTAGTATTAAAGGCAGTGTCGTCTAACACGTCATTGATTACTATTTTCAGAGCGTAAGTAGATTAGACCTAAAATTTGTCAAATCACTTAGATATGTCAATCCCGAAATTCGACAACAAGGTGTTAAAATAATGTTTTTGTCTCATTTTATCTCCTTCTTATTTTCAACTGGTTCTTGTCGACACAAGTTTTTTAGCGTCCCGTATTCACTTCATCTGTGTGGTGATATTCACCGTGTGTTCACCTATTCGATAATTTCCCAGTTTCCTTCGTAATTCATAGATATCGCATTTACTGGTGGTGTCATCGGAAGAGCAGTTCTTTAGCACCATGATAATTCTTCTTGTGTTTGTCATTTGCCCTTTTTTCTTCTAAAAAGTGTGGATCAGGTATCTGAATTTGCCATCAACGTCGGATAATTCTGTGGGAATGAATCCTGTGCCTACCTTTTTCTTTTAAAGAAAAGTAATTTTAGCTATGAGAACATTGGTTATCGTTCGATGTCATACCGTAGCAGTTATCGACAGGCACACTATCCAACACTTCAGGTTCTGATTAACTTCTAAACGATGGGAAGATGTATTCCATTTTTTGATATTGATTTCAATTTCTCGATTTCGTAGGATGAACAGTATCTTCGAAAGCGAGCGTTGTCAGCACATTCGGTCTCTCACATTGATGTTCCAACCATTGCTGGTTACACCATTCGCTTGGACAATGCAACGTTCCAGATGAGTCAAGATTCGAAGGTGAGGAAAGTTAGTAATAGTACCTATTATTAAACAAGTTGAATCATTGCTTTTTCAATACAGTCTACTTCCTCAGGAATTTCGACCTAATTTTTTTCTACTAAATTCACCAGTTGGAGCAAAGCTTGCTAGGACAACATCCTGAGTTTCTAGGAATGAAAAAACTTTTTTGTCACATTTTTAACCTATCATTTAGTGCCCATTCTTTTTCATGGCATTGAAGTTAGGTATTTCGAATAAGGTATTTCGCCACATACCCCGCTATGAAAAAGAGTAGGTAGTAAACGGTAAGGTAAAATTGTGGTTATAGCTACAGTCTCAGCTTAACTGGGTTCATTGCCGATTTGGGCTGTCCAGATCAAGACGGGTGATTGCTACTGATCGATAGGAATAGTTGACAAACAGGTGAAACGATGGACCCACATGGTGTGGTGGTGAACGCGTCGGCCCCCGGAATGGGTAATAGCTCGTTCGTTTCTCACCACAGACACGTGCGGTGCCGAGTTTTATAGCAGATATCTCAGCATCACCGAAACTTTTTTGTTTTTCATCCCGATAACTCCTATATCAAGTAGTAGAGCGGTTGAATGAGCTAGATTTCGTCCATTACGCAGCGTGAAGTCCTGAGTGGGTCGTGGATGTTTGCAGTTGTCGCGTTTGCGTTGAAGCTTTCTTTTTTTTGATTTTCAGTTTTGTTTTTCTCTCAACCGGTTCTTTTACCCTAATGGTGCTATCAGTAATCATCTGTGAACGGGAATGATCTGGAGAGTACAAATCGGTATTGAACCCAGCTGACACATGAGCCTCCGGAAAGGGTTCGTGGGTTCGAAGCTCATCTGGGGCTGGAGTTTTGCTCATACCTCAGCATCGTTGTGGTTGTATTTCACGTAATACATTGCTGTGAGAAAGTAGTAGGCAACAAATGAAGGAAAAAGTATTCTAGTTTTGAATATATTTGCATGTTCTCACGAACTGATCTTGTTCAGCTGATGCAAGGTTAACTGTTGTTTTCAGCAAAATAAATTTTTAGCATTTTGGACGAATTCTTTACGCGGTTAGAACTTTTCCATAACTACTATATAACAAAGTATGTACTGTGAGTATGTCAGTTTTCCAATTACTCAGTTACTCTTCTACTCAACTACAGTAGTTATGGAGAAGTTAGACTCAATTATCGGAGAACCAACGTCGTCGTGAATGTGTCATTAGTGTGTCCTAAATAGGCCACGTGCAGTCGACGGCTGCATGGTGAACTAATCTTTCACTGTCTCGGAGGCACCTGTCGCTGTGGTCCTGTGATCTCTGAGTGTAAAAGATTGGTTAATAATGTGGTTTTCTTTTGGTCCGTTCAAGTTTTGCAGTTTAGTTGTACAATCAATAAGTAGTAAGGCAGCGTGGAAATCGTACATTGATACTACCGGTTATCACCATGCGTCATTAGTTCATGCTCGTATTCAAAGAAGATCCTTTTACTTCATAGAGACAGGGATTGCTCAACAGAAACAAATCAAATTGGGGTGAGAATGTTGATTGCCACAAATAGGAGGTAGAAACAGCTAATTATTTTTTGTTTTTGGAATAATTCCGTACTAGCACATAAGGGATTCTAAAGTGAAAACATTTAAATTTCAGGCTCATATTCCTGAAGATGATGATGTTACACCGACGATTGAACATCCCGAACCGTTATGGCGTATACCGACAAGTTTCTCCTGCCAAGCTGGATTCTCTACGGCAAGTCTTGATCGAAGAAATACTATGCAGAGGTGAGTTTTCAACTTATATACCTACTCGGATACTTGTATGGCCCGTTTTCACAGGTTGCGCGGTCTCCAAAATAATTTCCACTTCTTCGGAGTTTTGCTGGTTTAGCCATTGTGGTTCCATGGAGTTCCGAAGTCAGCCTGGCAAAATTCCTTGCCGGGGGGATGAATCCCCCCCTGCTGTACATCGTAGCCCGACACCCAGGAACACCTCCCAGCTACGACGAGGCGGTAAACCATTGGGAGGCTCAACTTATATGTTGCTAAACATCCAATCATTAGGAAGTGAAACAGGTGTTTTCCTCGCATACATAACTTCATGTGTGTAAGGTCGGAAGGTTTGAAAATACCAACAACAACAATTCGTTTACAAGTATTTGTCAGTTGTGACCTCGTGTTTTTCTTTTGTTCAATTAATCCGGTCTAATAGTGTGATAATAAAAGTTGGGACAAATTAATTGTAAGGCAGATTGGAGAGTTCCATTACGGATTCTTTTGAAATCTGTCAGTAATCTAGGCCTTCGCCATCTTCAACTGCCGTTACTTCACGTCGTGAATTACAACCATATTCACTGTCCTCCTCCCGCAATCATTCACCATCGGCTCATCGTGTAACAACGTTTCCAGTTTGCAGTTCAGTCAGCGGAATTTGCGATAGGTAAGCATAATAATTGTGTTGGCCTTTAGTACAGCACATATGACCACAACATTTTATTAGAAATTTAGCATCATCTTCTCGTTTTATCAGCAAGCCTTTGGTTTTATCAAGGGTGACAACTTTCAAATTGAGTGATATCAGTATTTGAGACAGAAGGTCGTGGAGCGCTTCGTTCGTAGGAGTTGAAGCGAAAAAATTTTGATTTTAATGTTAACTTCTTATTTACTGCTTATTATTATCTGTTATACAACAATCACAATGATGCTGAGATATTTGCAAAACTCCGGACCTCAAGTTTCTGCGGTTGGAGACAAACGCACTGTTACCCTTTCCGGGGGCCAAAGCGTTCGCTGTGACACCATGCGGGTCTTTCGTTTCGCCTGTTTCTCAGCTAGCTTTCTATCGATAAATGCCATCAGTAATTTTGATTTGTTTGTGAGATTTTCAGAATATTGCTTCCCTATGCGGTGAAAGCCTTAGTGTATGAAATTTTTTTGTATAATATTGGTTTTCATTGAGTTCCGTCTTGAAATATCATTATAGGAAGCCTTGTTTTTCTTCGGATCTACCTCGCTACCAATCATCTTTCAATCGGCCCACGCCAAATCTATGCAACACATCTCGTGGAGGTGCACAAGTGAATCGAGTTATAGGATCAGCTTCGGCTGGAAAGTTGCCATCGCGTCCTGATCCACACATGGAAGCGCTTCTGGAATATTACAAAGGACAATCAGCTCAACCATCTACCCCCAAGACTGCCACAATTGTCTGAGTCACTTTTTTGACATTTTGCGATCCCCGGACCTCTACATGTATGTGTCGGCGATGTGCGTTTGATCTGTTGCAGTAGGTAAAATCGTAGAATGACAAGAGTAAACGTAGCTTTCAGTCGAGGCGTATGAATGTGAGCGACATTTATCGTATACGTCGTACTTTTACACTTGTAGCCAAGCACATTGGATAGTTGCTAACGCTTTTTGTTGACCCTGCCTAATAATTTTTTTCCAGCTGAATGTTCGTTAAGACCTTAGTTGTTCGTCTCTTCGTCCTTTTTGCTTTATTCAACACGGTGATTAGCCGTGATTTCATAGCGCGCATTTTAGGGTCATTGCCTAACACCGTTCACGTTCTTCATATTTATTGTCTCTTTTATTCTTCCCTTTAGAACTGTGGTTCTGTGTTAACTGATTTTTAAGCCTTCCCATTCAGCAGATGGCGAAAATGAGAGATATGTTTATGAAATTTGGGGTCTTAATCATCAAGAGGGCTTGTCTCATTTTGTGATAGCTGCAGTCGATTCACTTCATATAGATCTATGCTTTATAACTTATCTCGGGTCGACGCATCGATGTTTGTTCTACAGTCGTTGGAATATCCGCATTTCTTTTGCAGTATGCGTTGTGTTTTGTCGTATTTATTGTATGCATATATAAACCAGTCTTCACAAAAATTTTATAATTTATTCATTATTGTATGCATGGCGATCAGCATGAGGGGGTGGATAGCACAGTAGTCGTGATGTCCGTCATCACTAGCATTGTGGTAATTCGACTCCTCCTCGGGCCAAGCAAGCCTCTCATCCCTCCGGGATCGGGAAATTGGTACCAAACTTGTCTGGGGGAAAATTGTCTGCAGTCCGGTTGGAAACGGTCCAGCCTGGCTATCCCAAGACTCCAGGGAGAATTGCTCGAACAGCGTTCTACGACATTCAAGATGAAATGAAAATCCTCAAGAAAAGATCTTCATGGACAATGGATGCGAGGAAACGAATCGAATGTGAGAAATGCTGGGATCCGTATAGAGAGCGTGAAGAAGCATGACGTATGTTTTCACAAACCGTTCTGGGCCAAGCGGTCGAAACGAAGCTCTAACACAGATTTTATTCACGAGAAGCTGTTTATGTGGTGCTAACATGTATCTCTTGTCTAAAGATAGTGCCGAACCTTTGTCGTATGAAAACATGGAAAGCTGGTTTGAATGCAAGAAAGCGCTATATCATTTTCTTCGATGCACCGAGATCCAGTAAGTCTAAGCAAGTTCTGTCTGAGGAATTTTTCTTCGGTCCACAAAGGTTGGCGACGCATGTGGTAAAGCCTTGGGAGCACACTAGCAGAGTTTTCCCAGGACTACGAAGAGAACAAACTCGATCAGTATTCAACGAAATTTGTGAGGAAGACGAAATCATGTAGCAGCAGGACTAATGCGCAGAATTCTAAGACCATCGGAGATGGCGAATGTGAGATTTGATGCGAACTGAATGAACGGGGTTTTGGAATTGGCGCCATATTTGAAATTGGGTCACATAGATGAGAAAGTAAGGTATAAGCTTTAGATATTACAAAATATGTTCTACATATTTGTAGCTCAACACCTCAATTACTCGAAAAGCCAGACTTCGGTGTTATGCATGTAGTCAATTACACTGCTCGATTCGTGAGAGAGGTTTCCCACAGCAGTCGATAATTTTTCGATTACTACATTGATTATTACTGTGATTATACGGTTTTTCGTTCCATAGAACTTAAGGATTTGTGGGTACGACAGACTAGAGCACAGTTGGCCACATTGCTCTAAGTGTATACACAATTCGTTCATAATGTCATTCTCAGTTTAGATTTCTTTAAAAATAAAAGCTATTAAGAACTTATCGCTAGAGCGACAGTCAATGCCGAAGGTGTAACCAGAAATACCACCGTATTCTGCTGGATAAGACTCAGTTCGTTAAATCACTATGGTGTCCGAAATACGAGACTCGACGAAAAGCTCTAGGAAACAGAAAAAGAGTGGAAAAGAATGTAAGCGAAGGTGTTGAAAGACAGGTGTGTACAAGAAAAGGTGTTGAGTTTTAATGCCATATATCTGCGAGTTCTAATGGTTTTCGTTAGTTTCGTAAAATTTACTACGGCTAGTATAGGCTTGGTCAGGAGTGACAGGCTGGGCTAAAGATTTTTGAACACGTCAGCATTGAAAGAAGGATACATAGATTAGGAAAGTAATATCGCACATGGTTTAGTATGCAGTGATGGGAATTTTGGCATGCGACTGTGAATTCAACTGACACTTTATCAAATCTACTGAACAACCAACAACAACTATAAGCCGATTTCTTGACAACTTAATACAATCTCATTTAAAGAAAGCTATTGATGAAGTCGGCAACCATCGTCTTTACGGTTTGTATGGCAGTGTCACCGTTACATTGCCAAATACAGTGAAAATGAAAGGTAAAAAGAAGAAATTGGTATAGCAAATATTGTCCATAGAATAGACAGTATTCACTGTGCAGTCACTCTCTTCGTTGGTTGTAAATTGTTAAGTTAGTAGATTTTGTTGGCCCCTGATGGTCTCATGCGGACAGTGTACGTTTACGCCAAATCAATTGCGCGATCTCCGCTACAAGGATCACTTCAATTGTCAAGTCATTCCTCCTAGCTTAGTTCTCCAGATTATCATGCGCTTCATATTAGCCTTGTAGATCGATTAAGTCAATGCTTGTACTTTTCGTGAATGTGTTAACCTCGTTACCTTTGTTGTTGCATCAATATTGCTGGAAGGAAGGCTTAACTACCCAAGCTTTAGGTCTGGAGTAACAACCAACCAAAAAGCAGAGAGAAAAAGCGCAGCTTTACACATCAACGCACCTTCCACTTCAAGTGAATTGAAAAACCTGAATACGTGGTGAAGTCGTGCAAAAGTATGTGGAGGAATCAAAGGGAAATAATTCAATGTTTTTCATCAATAAGCAGACACGAGGTTGTTAATATAGAATTTATTAGAACACAATTGCTGACGTT